AGGAAGGAAGGAAGGAAGGAAGGAAGGAAGGAAGGAAGGAAGGAAGGAAGGAAGGAGTGTGTGATGACTGAGGGCTCTGTGCGCCGCATTAACCTCCCTCTGTGTCTCTCCCCGGCAGTCCCTTCAGTCTGAGTATGTTCATTACTAAGGCCCTGCCGTCGGGACCGCTGCTCTTAGCGCCACTGCTGCACCGGGACCAGCGCCAGGACCGGCTGCGGCACACGGATACCTCCGCCGTCCTCCCTCTCGTTAAAGCGACCTTCAGGGGACCGGCCGCCGGCCCAGACCGCGCACAGGCACTGAGGCTGTGCGACCCCCACTTCTGAAGACCGTTTTAACTGGGCTCGGTGATTTCGAAGGGTTATTTTTCATGTACTGCGGGAATCCTTTCTTATTACATGTACCTGTACAGTGTCACATGATGTATGTATTGTGAACGTAAAAAGCCTATTTTGATAAATTTATAAATATTTACAATGATGGAAAAGCTAGACTATATTTTGACTTAGGTTTTCTTGCTCTTTGCTACCAAAAAAAGAACTCATTTGTATTTTGAATTTGTGCAGCACGCTGTTCAGTACGATGAGCCGCCACCCTCTGGGGGGGAAGGCCCGAGGGAGGCCCGTTCGGAGAGGGGCTGTTCCCCGGAATGTGGCCGGCAGGCCCTCCTTTCGGGGGAGTCGGCCCAAGGTCAGGAGCTGCCCAGGTTCCTCTCCCGGACAGCCTCAGCCTCCGGCCTGGCTCCGGACGCGTTTTCCCTTTGTTTTTGTTGCTGAGCCGCTTAGTTTTGCACCCTCGGGGCTTTCTGGACACTGAGCACCTCGCCGCCCGCACTCGCTGGGTGTTGCTCCCGAGAGGGCTCCCCCCCGAGAAAGGACTCAGGGCTCCCAAGCTAGGAGGATGGCTGCTCTGGGTACAAGGCAGCGCTGGGGCCCGTGATCGCACGTGGCCAGGCACCAGTGTCCAAATCCAGGAAGAGAAACAGTGGGAAAGGATGCTGCTGGGTCGTTCTCTGTGTTTCAGAGAGAAGGGGCCCTGGGCTCGCAGCTGGCCTGGGAGGACCCCCCACCCAGGGGCCCTGGGCTCGCAGCTGGCATAGGAGGACCCCACAGGGGCCTCGCTCGGAGGTCTGCGGGCTCATTTCCTGGGGAGTCGGGGCCTGCCTCCCGATTCCCCGTTGCGCACCCATTGAGTTATTTATAGTGTATTTATTAGGACGGGTACCTCCAGACTGTCACATGCGCTTCAGCAAAACATCTTGTTTGTTTTATGTTTTACACTTTTAAACAGGCATTTGAATGAATGTTTGACTCAGGTGGGTTAGCTTAACCTTCAAGAACGACAGTACCAAATAATTGCACTAAGTTGATTTAAAATAAAGAGAATGTTTTTAGGGATCACAAATTATGGAATTAAATTGTATACTTTTTCTAAACCTGAAATAGTGAAGTATTTTATTATGAGTTATTGTATAAAAAAAAGAGAGACTGGTGAATTGTACAGGCTGTTGATAGTATTTTTTTAAAAAAACTGATCAGTGGGACACAATCCAGGTGACATCGGAGAAGTGGGAAAGGGAACCACATTGACATTTTAGTTCTGTGAACACTAGTTTGTGTGCAGCTATGAAAATGATTGTAAAATTGACTGCTGTAAATTTCTCATACGTATGTGTGTATGCTCGTCATATGTATCTACATGTGTACGTCTTAAAAATTATTAATACACATGTGCATACATAGACAAACCAAGAAGAGTATGTATATAACATAGAAAGTATATAGCAAAGTAATTCTACTGCAATAAAAATTGTTTGACATGTATTTTGTTATGAATAGTTTACCTTCCAAAAGATATTCTGTTCTATTTTAAAGTGTAGAAGGATACACTGCTAATAAATAATAAAAGTTTTATGCCATTCACATGCCCTCTGGCTTTTATCATTGGGATTTTGAGTTACGAATGTCCTGAAGTCTCTTGATAATTTTGTACTTGATCCAGTCTGGTTGGTGCCCTCAGTCGTGTTTCTCAAGTTCTCCATTTCCTGGAATCCATGACGATGAGCCCTGAGGAATCTTTGAACGTCACAGTCGTCAGATAACGCCGGTGTCTTGATGTTTTTCTCTCTGTGTAATGCTCCGTTCTGCTCCGAAAGTGCCGATCGGGGTTCTGCGTGGTCATTTGTGACTGCGAATGCCACGCCGGGGAGAAGTCAGCTTCGGGGGGAACGTTGGAGCTACTTTATGTCCCCAACTAGATTGGATCCCTTTGGCTTGTGGTATCTCTGAGGTTCTTCCCTTCTGTTTGCCTCTTAAAAAACTTGAGAACATGCGGGAAGGGCTGTGGGCAGGACGGCAGCCTCACTCCCTGAGTCCAGAGCACGGGACAGCGGGGACCGAGGTCATGACGGTCCCACACGGGTTTCTTGTGAAGTCACAAACCTGGCAAAAGCGTCTAGAGGGCAGACAGTCTGTTCCTCTCCCGCCTCCACCCCCCAAAAAGCAACAAACAAACCAATGAGCTCATCATAGCACCACATTTCTCGCCTGCGGGTCACTGAGCTCACGTGGTTTCGCCCTGGTCAGAGCCCCCGGGCGGGGTGCACGTGGACAGCCGCAGCAGGAACGTGGGTTTCCCGAAGGTAAGCACCACGAACCCATTTTCAAAATTGCTCTCTCGTGCTTTCCTCGGGGATGCACTGACCAGGAGTGGGAGCCTTTTCCATGCCAAGGGCCATGGATACTTATCGCCGCGGGCCAGACAGAAGCATCGGCTTACAAATCAGACAGTTAGCCCACTGGTCCCTGATGCCTCGGCAGGGCCGGGCCACGTGATTCCACCGGCCGTGTCCGGCCTGTGGGCGACACCACTGATGGGCTAAAAGTTTCTTTTCAAGTCCATTGCTGGTCCAGGACCGGACCGGACCCTGGTGTTTGGCGCCATACGACAACGTGCTCTTTCCTCCTCGCCCTCGGAGGCGAGGTCAGGGTGCTGCGGGACCTTGTGGTTCTGCGACACCCTGCAAAGCGAGAACGGGTCGCTGCTGCCTCTGGGAACAAGTGGGGGGATGTCCAGCTCCAGCAAGATGCACCTCACAGCACAAGACAACACCCTTCACTTACTCACAGGCTGCATCGGGCTGTGGCGCCCATCTCCCGGAAAGTGGAGAATAATTGTATTGAGTTATTTTGAGCTGAATTGAAATGGTAATATATTCCCACCCAGTGCCTTTTCTATGGATCGAAGTATGATAATCATATTGAGGAGGAGAAAAATAGCTTTTGTAGAGAATTCTAAACTTCGGTGAGTGCAGATAGACACATATTGCAAGTCGACCTTTCATGCAAAACACAGTGCCTTGGAGCTGGTTGTGAATGGACAGACATAAGCTAACTGACCTTTAACCTGCATGCCACCCAAACAGAGGTGAGCTAGGTGATCACGGCTTGCTCTCACTCCTCTAGTCTGAAGCAAGTTGACCAACGTGTTTTAAAAAGTTGGACAGCAAACAGGACGACTTGGCGACTGTAGAAATGAGCCCCACTGTGATGTTTGCACTGACACTCAGCGGTAGATTGAGGGGTAACTGTCTATCAAATGTCTTTTTTTGGCCTCTTATTATTTTATTTTCCAACTGTAGTTTGCCTTCAACACTTGTTTGTATTGGTTTCAGAGAGGTGTGTAGTGGGTACACATTCATAGAGGTTACAAAGCGATCCCTCCCACAACACAAGCGCCCACCAGGCCCCACACAGCACCTGTTAAAATAGGGCCTGGCTGGTGTGAAAGAATACCCATCCAAGTAAAATACCAGAGCCCTGGCCGGTGGCTCAGTGGTTAGAGGTCAGCCTCTGCCCTGAAGGGTCGAGGGTTCAATTCCCTCGTACCTCAAGGGCACGTACCTGGGTTGTAGGTTCAATCCCACCCCAGTCGGCACGCACACAGGAGGCAACCAGTGGATGTGTCCCTTCCCCCCTTCCTCTCTAAAAATCAGTGGAGGGGGAAAAATCCTCGGGTGAGGATTAGCAGAAATAAAATACAGAAACACTTCAAGCAAGCAGATACTCAGCGTTTCAAAGCTTTGGGTGGGAGCACACGTTGCCGGACCTAGAAAAGTTGGGTTAAAAGGTTTCACTGTTTGGAAACTAGAGCAGGTCGCAAGGCAGCGAGTCTGAGAGACGTGCCTGTAAATTAACAACCTCGTGCTGGTTCTCAGCTGGAGCGTAAAATCGTAAAAAGCTGAACACTGGTACCCGGAACCTGATGGGAAAGCATTTAATTCTTGAAATTACAATTGTTATGATGCCTTGTTGAAAAGGCGCGTTGGCCGAACGCAGAAGCGCTCAGGTTTGAAGTTTCCATAGCAACTTGCCCGCCGCCTTGCCCTGGTAAAGGCTTCTCCCTGCACGGGGCAGCATCGAATCAACAGGCCATTGAGGACTTTTCATACCTTGTAACAGCGTCCTGAGAATGAGCCCTGAGCGATTCCTCTCTCGGTTTCATTGGCCAGGACCCTGGGCCTAAATATTCCTGACGTTTCATGAGGCCCCGATTTAATAAAATCTTTGATTAAAAGCACCGTTGGCTCGGCGTCCGTGCATCGCTTTTGTTTCTGAGGCGCGTGCGCTCATGCCAATCAGCCGCGCTGGGTCGGGTCGCCCTCCCCCCTCGCCGCTCCCCGGCCGTAGCTGGGGCCCCCTCCCCCGCCACATGTCCTTTGCTGAGGCATGTTCTGTACCTGAACACAGGCTCTGTCTGAACACCGGAGATGATACGGCTTTTCTTGTTCTCGCACAAATGTGCGCAGCGTTCCTGCCACACGATGAGCTGGCGGCTGGACAGGCCCTGTCCCCGCGTGAGGAACACGGCGAGGCTGCTTACTCATCCGAGGGCCACACGTGTCCATCCTCGGCGCCCAGCCCACCGCCCACTTCGCCGGGACCTTCTCCCGCTGGGGGTGGGAGGCAGCTCTTCCTCCTGGGCGAGCCTGTGACAGCCTTCGTTGGGGCGGCCCGCCTTCCTGCTGTCTCCCAGGTCCCCGATGGGCACAGGGTGAACCCTTTTATTTCGCCGCATTTTGATTTTCCTGCTTTCTCGGGGTCTTTTAGAAATTAAGGGCTACAGAGATCTCGTTTTCTGGCGAGGACGCTGAGCCCCTAGGCCTGGAAGTCGGAGCGAAGTCGGGTTGGGCCGGCCTGCGGCCAGGAGAACTGGGGTGGAGCTTCGGCAGGAAGGATGAGGGGACACTGCCTGTGGGGTCTTTGCTGGTCTGGAAAGGTCACAACGAGAAAGGAGTTAAGACAACGCGTATGGACAGAGATGGGCAAGTGGATGGTGGATTGAGGTCCATTCAACAGAGTTTGAGAGGCTACGGAGGAGCCACAGGCAGGAAGTTAAAACCGTCAAGTTCACAGTTTTCTGAGGACACAGACACGAAACAATGACCGCCCAGCCCCAGGACACGCCTCGTGGGGAACCGGATAAATGTGGGGCGGGAGTGTGGTCAGAGGGGGACCCCAAGGAGCGGGCGTGTGCTGAGGCTTGGAGGCAGCAGGAGGTGGGGAGTGGATCCCGGCATCCTTGTCCTAATTGGAAACCGGCGTGCGTCCTGGCCAGGAATGAGGAAACCGTCTTCAGACCGCGGAGCCATCAGAGATCTGGCCCCAGCAGGACCCACCCTGGCTGAACTCTAGGGTGGATCCCAGAGGGAAGGGACATCATAGTTTCCTGGCCACCATCATGGCCTCCATGAGGGCGGGACCAGATTGTGGCTCCGGGCACTTAGTCCCTAATTATTCTAATTTAGTCTTGAAAACGACACAGTTTCTTTGATTGTTTTCCTCTTACTTGGTTTATGATCCTGTCACCTCTGCTGACCTGTAATTAAGGGTGATAATAATTGTGGCCAAGTTCCTATAAGGGTCCGATCCTTTTTCCCATCAGCGATACGTGAACGAACACACACACACATACACACACACACACACACACGGCACATTTTTCAAGTAATTCGATCTCATCATTGAAACAACCGAAAATAATTCCTAAATGCTTAAAACCACGAATTTATCTCCATCAAGTTCCTACATCTCTCAGAAGTATTTTTAAAGCAGATTAAAAACACACACAACTATATTAAACCTCTTACTGGAAAAAAAAAAAAAAGTCCCTTCTGGACAGAGACCAAGCCAAAGTGATTTGAACTGGAATTGCTTTTCCTGGAAAGGTTGAAAAGGCAGCTCAGGAAAGAGGCGCCTTGGCGACCTCACAGATGGACACTCAGATGCAAGCGAGGCCGCTCTGCACCTCCCCCCCCCCCCCCCCCCAAAAAAAAACACGTGCCTGGGGAGAAGGACCCCCTTGGAGCTGGTTACAATGCAGACTCCTGGGGCCGAGCCAGAGCTGTGGAGACACCAGTGGTTTCAGGTGCAGGCGACTTAAGAGCACAGCTCAATTAGCCCAGAAAGACAAATGGAGATGGCCCCAGCCAGTGTGGCTCAGTGGATAGAGCGTCGGCCTGCGGACTGAAGGGTCCCGGGTTTGACTCCAGTCAAGGGCACATGCCCGGGTTGTGGGCTTGATCCCCAATAGGGGGCGTGCAGGAGGCAGCCAATCCATGATGCTCTCTCATCATTGATGTTTCTTCCTTCCTCTTTGAAATCAATAGAAATATATTTTAAAAAAAGACAAATGGAGTTAAAAAAAAAGATAACTTCCCAGGGCAAGAATGAGGCCGTGGGCTTGTTATGCTATTTAGCTATGAAGTGGAATCAGTGGGGCCACCTGGATGTGTGTCATGGGACACTCGAGTTCTCCGCACGGACCGTCCCTGTGTGTGACTTTGGGTAAGTCACTGACAGTCTCTGG